CATTTCCGGCGTTCGGTCGAGAGGCCAAGTCACGGGCAATGGCGTCTCTCCGTCGCGAGGCCTTCGAATTGCGCTGCCCGCCGCCTCGCTTGGCCTCAACACCCTCGCCACGACCGGATTGATGAGCCGCGGCGGCCCACCCACCGGCGCCGGACTCCTCCCGGTGCTCGGCAACGTCGCCAGTGGAGACGGCAAATTCGTTTCCTCCTCGCTCTCGCTCTCCACACTGCCCACCTACCTCTACGCCGCCCCGCACAGCCTCTCCTCCTCCTCCTCCTCGCCCTTCTCCTCTTCCTCTTCCTCATCCTCCTCCTCCTCATCATCCTCCACCACCACCACCGCCGCCGGGGCCGCCAACATCATCACCAGCAAGTCGTCGGGCTTGCCGACGTCGACGTGTCTCAACCTGACGCCCAGCGCCATCAACAGCATCGCCGGCGGTTTGTGCAAGTCGTTGGTCGCCTCGTTGGCGTGCCAACGAGGCGCCGTCGATCTACTGCCGCCCGGAGCTTTGCATCCAGCGGCTCATGGCCAGTCGAGACCTCGGGCGGTTGGCAACTGCGTCTCGGAGACAGGCGAAAGTTTGACGGACTCGGTGGAGGAGGCGGTCTCCGAGGTGTGGGCTCGTGGAAAGCCCTTCTCGACGGTCGGGCGGCTAAAGTCGGCGTCTCTGAGTGACGACAAAAAAGAGTCGGCCGGCGATGTCGTGAAGGACTTCGAGGCGTCTCTCGACCTGCCGCCTCTGTCGTCGGCCGGACTGCTTGCCCTCTCCACCACGCCCACATCACGACGCGTCCATCCCAACCGAAGATTTGTCTGCAATCAATGCCGTAGTCAGTTTGTTTCATTGGCCGAGTTGAATCGGCACACGTTGGAACGACACAACTTTTTTCGATGCACCATCTGCTCGGCCCACTTTACACAACGCTCCAACCTCCAGCGGCACTCGCTAAAGCACATCGGCTTCAAACCATTCATCTGCAACCTCTGCCACAAAGAGTACTACCGAAAAGACCATTTGGTGCGTCACATCGAGGTGACCCACCCGTCGGCCGACCCAAAACTCAACATCACTGTACGTCTCACCTCGTCGGAATGTCTCGACTATTTGGACAAGATACGCGCCAACGGTGGCCAGACAACGGCGCCGCAAACAGAGATCCGACAGCCGATTGAGCGTAGTTGCCGGGTGCACGGATTTCAAGCAGATCCTGTCTCTCTTCTAAAGACCGGCCTCGAGGACGACGACGAGGAAGACGACGACAACGACAACGAAAACGAAAACGACAACGACAATGACAACGACAACGACAATGAGGAGGAGGAGGAGGACGAGCATGAGGCCTACAGAGACGAGACGTTTGTCGGACTAGACCAAATGGAGACGATACCGGCAAACGGTCTACACGAGGCGGAGTCGAGTTGTCGACCGGTTGGAGCAAAAACATCGCTGCCAAATCAGAATGCCCTTCACGAAGAAACTGTCCACGAGGTCTTTGACGAGAACGAGAAAAGAGAACCACGATCAGGCGACATTGGCGACGCAGATGGTGATGATGGTAATCATGCTGCTGCCGTTACTAAAAAAGAAGAAGAAGAAGAAGAAGAAGAAGAA